AATATCTGTAGGCACAGATCATGAATGCAGGTAAATCTAATATTTATACAATATTAGAAGTGACGTACGCGCAAAAATGAAGGACTTTGGAGGGGGGGAAGAGCTGTCCTATTTCTCAAGAATTTCATGGTGTAATAACTTAAATGTGTAAAAATATTGCCACAAATGATATTTAACTGTATTGTCATCAGCTTCAGACAGAACATGTCAGGCATTCTTATTTGTTTACTGATACAATATATGACTATACTAAAGAAAAGGCTAGAGAGCCCTTCTCTTCCTTTAATAAGTAGTTCGAAAACCATTTTCTATATGAAGCCTTTCCTGATCTCACCAAGGACTAGGGCCATCCCTCTCAAATTACCTTGAATTTAGCTACTTTGTATACACTTATATTTATTTAGTAGTTGTTCATTTTTATTTATGTCAAATGTATATATGTATGTGTATATGCATTCAAATGTGTGTATTTTATAGTCATATGCAGGCTTGTGTAAATACATTCATATATATGTATGCTTTTTTTTTAAGGCAAATGGGGTTAAGTGACTTGCCCAGGGTCACACAGCTAGTAAGTGTCAAGTATTTGGTCTGAGACAGGATTTAAACTCAGGTCCTCCTGACTTCAGGGCCAGTGCTCTCTATCCACCATGCCACCTAGCTGCCCCTTATGTGTATGTTTATAATCATATGTATATATGTATATCCATATATGGATATATGGATATACATTTGCATATATGTATGAATGTGTATATACATACTTGTGTATGTATGTATGCAATATGTATATGCCTATAGGTTCATGTACATGTATACACACGCATTATAAGCACATCTATATATGCATATCCATGTGTGTATGTGCATATAGTATATATGTATACATATGTGTATATTTACACACTATATATACATATACAAACCTATCTGTGTGTAGATGTATATATACATATATACATTCACACTTGTGTATTACACACATATATACATATACATATACACATATGTGTAAACACACACATACATACACAAACCCACATCTCCTCCATTAGAATGAGAGTTTCTTGTGAGTAGCGATTGTTTCATTCTTTTCACTTGTATCACAGTGCCCTGACCCGTAGTAGTTACTTAATAAATACTCGTGGATTGATTGATTGACTACCACATCAGATGCTTCAAAGTTTAATTGTGATAATAGGAAAAAAAAATCGTAATAGAATCATACAGCTAGAACATGAAGGGACTTTAGAGGCCATGTAGGCCTGGCCCCCCTTCATTTTAGAGATGAAGACACTGAGGCCCTGAGAAGTTCAATGGCTTGAGCCAAGTCCCATGGCTAGTGTGTGTCTGAGTCAGGACTGAAGTCAATTCTCATGAGTCCATAAGTGTGGCCCTCTTTCCACTGAAAGCTTCTTTCAACAGTTTTCTATGAAGACTCGTTTTGTCAGAAACAGTGAAATTTGACAAGAGTGAAGGCCATCAACATGCCTATTCATGAAGAATCATGGTTATCGGAACTTCAGAGATTATTTACTCATAAAGTCATAGATCATTAGAGCTGGAAGGGACCTCGGAGATAATCTAGTTCAAGAATGATATTTAACAATGAGGAAACGGGAGGCCGAAGAGGTACAATCACTTGTCCAAGTCTGTTGTTCACTGAGCTAGAACTCCAAATTAGAGCTTTCTGTCTCCCTATTGAATGTTCTCTCCTTTATATCACAACTTATTGGAGGGCTGCTACCAGTTTTGTTGAAAGTAAATAAAGTGAATTTGTTTGGAAAGTATATCCAATTGCCTGAATTACCTTAAAACTTATCCGTATGTTGCTAAGATAGAATGCCCCTTTGAGATTTTTCATTCTTTTATTTTGTTATTCTGCCTCCAACTTTTTCTAATGCTTAACTATTCTTATAATTAGTCACAGTAATCAGATTAGATTTTCTGTTGCATTGGATTTTTGGATTCTACTAGAGTTTCCAGTATAAATTTCTATTTCTAGCCCCCATGAAAAAAGTTTCCTCCAGGCTGAAGCTTGGCAAACATGAGCTCAGCCTGGAAATGATTTTTTAAACCAAATCAGAAAAACTTCAACTCTACCCCCCTCCCTTTTTTGAATCAGTAAAATAAATAAAAGCAAATAAAAAATTGGGAGTGTGTATTCATCCTGTGCATGAAGCCTTGATTTGAATTTGCAAATTCATGTATACCTGATGTTTTAGTCCATGTTTCATCCACTAAACCACATCAGTAGCATTTTATTAAGATTAAAAATTAGGTTCAGTGACATTAGAAATATATTTGTGTATGTATGTATGTATGTATTAATGTCTTGACTTTTTAGTACTTTCTTTTGGTGTTAATAGAATCTACTAAGTCCATCCTGTCAATCAATTTTTTTTCTCTCGATGTCCCCATTCTAAACTTGGCTACACATATGAGTCTGGCCAAGCTGAGATTAAATCAGTAGAGAATTTTTGTATATCTGTAGCAAGAAGGAAGAAAACAAGAATGATCTTAACTAGCTCATTACTTTTCTGAGGAATTTCTAAACCAATCTCCATCTTTGGGATATCATAACAAAAGCAAACAAAAACATAGCATACTCCCAAATACCATATAATTGTGTACTCTCCCTTTCTACTTTAGGTTCCAATTCTATGTCACTTAGTAAGTCTTTAGTAAGTTTTCAGTAATAAGGCAACAAAGTGTAATGTTGTTATGGATATGAAAATTGAGATATAAAGAGGAAGATAATGGATTTAGTAGAGAAAGAGAGACAGAGACAGAGAACGCAAAAGAGAATAATACATAAAAAGGAGACTAGAAGGTAAAAGAACAGAACTGAAAGGAATTGTATAGAGAAAAAGAGAAAGGAATCATAAGAGAAAGAAAGAAATAGCAATGGAAAAGAAAAAAATTTAAGGACAACGCAAAAATGAGGCAAAACAAAAAAAAAGCTATCCTTTATTACTCTGAGCTCTTCCTTTTGAGAAACATTCTGCATTTAATGTTTTGCATATCAAAATACCACTTGGGTTTTAACCCTTTGATAGCCAATTTTTAGAGAAATGTACCAGTAACCTCATGACCCCTATTTGCTTAAGTAATGGCATCTGGAAAAGAAATGATAAAACATTTCTCTATTGATATTTTAATAAATCTTTAAACTCAAAAAGTTTAATATATATATATTTTTTCTGCTTTTCTTCACTGGCTGCCTTATATTTGTTAAAATTCTTAATGTTTATAGTGTTTCCTCAAATATATTGTAAGCTCCTTGAGGGCCATGCTTTTTATTTCTTTATGAACTCTCCTCCTCTGCCCCTCACAGCATTTTGCCCGTGAAAAGCACATGGTGGTACAAATATTTAAATTTCATCATCCATATGGTGCTAAGATTCAAAAGAAAAGGAGTTGCCATTTCTTAAAGAATAAAAAGAAAAGTATAGCAAACATACATTTTAAATGATAAAAAAAATAAAACAAAGGAGTGATAGAATTAAGTTGAAGAATGAGACATAGTTTTGGACGTGACTAGTATGGCAATTTGTTTTGCTTGACTATGCATACTCCTTACAAGGGTTTTTTTAAAAAAAGAATTGGGGGGAGGGAGATTGGGTAGGAGGGAGAGAAAATGCACTTGTTAATTTTCAAAGAAAAATAAACGTTATATAACAAATGAACACTTGGCATTTTCTTATAGCAAGAACCTGATTTGACCCCTGGTTCTTCTAGCAACCTACCTAAACTGCCGAGGGAAGGAGACATTTGGGAATTACACTACCTAGTGTGGATTTTTAGTGTCCACAAAGAGCAGAAAGGACCCTCCATTTTGAAAGCTAACTCAAAGAAAACATGAAAAGACAAAATGACCACATAAAGTCAAAAGTCAGATCCCATGGCCAAGATTTGTACCCAGTACAAAGTTTCACCTAAATGTTCAGAATACTATAAAGGTTTCAACTTTTTAAGTTCATTTTCATACTTCCTCGCCACTCATTCAGCCCACCTTTGATTCATATGTATTTTCCAAGCCATATGCTACATTGTATAGAATCACATGCCTTGAACTTAAAGTTCTTAGGGTATGATATGGTCATGTGTATGCTGAAGACTCCATAACAACCATCATGATAAATGTCATGAATGCGCAAGAATGACTCTTTAAAAATAAATAAATAAATAAATAAATACACACACACACACACACACACACACACACACACAAACACACACACACACATATATATATATATATACATACATATACATACACATATATATTATATCCACATGCTCCCCAAACATATATGCTTCTAATATATAATATCGAACAGATTCAGGGTTTATTTACATCTATGTATGCATGTGATATACATATATGTATACATATACATATGGTAACATAACTAAGAATCAGTAAGGGTAATTGTAAATCTTTCAAGGTGGTACAATGAAGAGATGAGCTTGTAACTCTGAAAATGAAATAGACAAAGTACACATTCAAACTAGTTTTTACAATTACAGGTCTGGCTACTGCAATTATTTTGGACATTGTTCAGAAGAACTGAAGACAATAGGAGTCTCTGGGAAAATGAACAACATAATTGGCCCAGGGATAAAAATGAAGACAGCAAAAGAAAACAGATGCTTTGGCTAGGAGCAATGGTTTCATGGAACTGTTTCCACACTGGGCCATGGTTCATCAAACAAAGCCTCAAAGGTATCATGCCATACTATGTTTCATTTATTGCAATAGCTAACAAAGGATCTGAAGAGTGAAAGTGTAGTCATGTACAACAGCCTTCAAAGGGGACGCTCTATATGTTCATCATTAAAGAAAGTAATGAAATCAATTGGGCAAAGACTGAAAGAAAAGATTGGTTCTTGAAAAAGCTTTTAGATGCAATAATCTATGCATTTCATCTTGTTTTGCTATATAACAAATCACCAAGTGTGATATCATCTTCCTTATTCCATGTTATTTATCATACCTGTGGGTAGCTGTCAGTCCGTGGTAAGACAGATATATCATAGGTGGCAGCAAAATGGCTTTTAGCTTGTTGTATTTGGCCATAACGTTCTCTTTTTCGCCATTTAGCTCTTCGATTTTGAAACCAAACCTACATGAAACAAGTAGAATGTTGTTGAAGTACCTGGCATATAGTAAGTATTTAATCAGAGCTTGTTGTCTTGCCTTGCATAAAAGAAAGAACTGAAAAGCCATCCAAAATGTATGACAAAAGAGCCCAAATACCACAGGAGGACTGAAACTTAAAAGCCAATAAGGCTTCTTTCAAAGTCTGTCTCCATTTCAAAATAAGATAGTCAGTTCTGACATTTCTGTTCCATCCTATGTAAGATCTTATAATAAAGTATTCTAGATCTCTTTCTCAAGATTAATTTTCCTCAAATGATAGAAGAGTAAAAAAAAAATCATAGAGTATCCATATGTGTTTTGAAAAATTCTAATATTTCAGATTTTCTATTTTGAGAGGCAATAAGATGAAATAGAAAGAGCACTGGACCAGATTACCTGGCTTTGACAATAATTAGCCAGATGACATTAAGCAAAGCTTTCTGAGACTCAGTTTTGTTAACGGTAAATAGAGTCATTGGACTCACTTGCTTCCATGGACTCTTGCAGAGCTGAAATTTTGTGAATTATGTAACCTCATTAGAATTCCAGATCCAAAATTCTTCAAGACTGAAACTCTTTGAGATTTTTTTTAATTTTAGAGTTTTAAGGTATGACCATTAAACATCAACCTAACCTGCCTACCTAATTTGAATATGATCTGGTTGAATAAAAGAATGCTAGACTAAGTCAAGTCACCAAAAGAAGACCCCATGCATATGGATCTTGATTTAATTCATTTCAGAAAGTGTTGAATATTGAGAGATAAATATAAAGATATCAGTATTAGTAACTAAAATACTCTGGCTCTTAATGGAACTGTAAAATGATTGACTATTTTTTTATTAGAAATAAATGATGGGGGCAACATTTAGAGCACAACTATCTGTAGGTATATTTTTATTTATCAGGTATATAGATTTGCTGAATACATGGAATGTATCTATAAGGTTTATTTTTTTCTTACTAAAACTAATATACTTTTAAACATTTTCAAAATTAAAACAAAAAAAATGGAGACAATAGTAGTACCTGAAGTCATAAAAGCTCAAATTTTACTCTGGATTCTGTTAACAACTTCATCCATTTGGTCAAATCATTGATTTTTTTGTCTACAAATAATCCAACTACAAACTGGAATTTTTTAAAAACTTCTAATGAATTCCCAAAGGAATGTTGTTATATTTATATGTGCAATGTGGCATATTTTGGAGTTGAAGGCCTAAAGGCATTTTTATTCTGTGAATATATGATTATGGCACTGATATGAGATAAAAGTGGTCTAACTGAAGGTGTCTACGCAAGATTGCCCTAATTGATATTTGATAAGCAGTTTCTAGATTTTTTTTAACTGCCGATGCTCTTTGAAACATACCTGCATTTAAAATGTGACCTACTTACTATGGACCTAGATGGAAACGAAATATAAAAAATGTACAGCTGAACAATCTTCTGCTACAGATAACTTCAACTTTTCACTCTGTGTGTGTGTGCGTGTATATGGGTGTGTGTGTGTGTGTGTGTATTCTCATGTCTACTTCTTTTCCATGGTCTTTACCTTTTCAGTTCATGATGGTCTAAATTCTTAGAGATGCTTTAAATACCAGTTTGATATTTAATTGCAGATTGCAGATTTAACATGGTACTTTGAAAAAACTGATGCAGAAATCAAAACAAGATGCAGGGACGTACCTGTTGAACATATTTTTTGAAGGAGGTGCTTGGTAAATTTGCATTATCCAACATGCCTGGGGCTCAAAAAAAAAAAAAAAGAAAGAAAGAAAGAAAGAAAAAATCCCCTTCTGTCTCCACAGGAGGCACCAAGAATATACTAGGGGAATTTATTAATGAGCTTCTTTCGTTGAAAAAAAGACCCCAACAATCTCCTTAAAATGGGTGCCAATTACTACATTGATGAGAAGCAGGAAAGAGAACAACTTAGATAAATTAGGTTCAAGCTGGCTCTCTGCATGGACCCAGGACAAAAAAAAAAATAAATTGGACTTTGAATCAATATTTAAGGGGAAAGTATATAGTATGCTCAACTGAGATGTTTGTGGACTTATGACACATGACCACATAATATAGTTGAATATATAATAACCAAAGAAGAACGGGCAATATATGTTTATATTTTTGTTAACATATCTTTTTTTTTTTTTTACAATTCACAAAATTCTTTTTGTATTGCTTTCCCAGAAATTAGCTAAAGATAAAATAACCATTTGTCTTTACAAATGAAAACAAAAATCTGCCTCTTGTTATCCGTGCATTACCAGATGTTGCCCTTAATGATGTAAGGGCCTTATAATTACTTATTCTTGTGATGGAATTCTGTTATACTCAGGATAGAAATCCCCATTGCTTTTCCTGCATATTCCTTTCCTAATGATTAATCAGAATTGCTAAATTCAGTACTTTCCTAAGAAAAGCAGGCTATATCCACACTGCAAAGAAAATATACAATCTCTGGAGTGTTTGTTGATATTATTTGCTTTATAAACCTTTAGTTATATTTCAGGCAACATTGAAAAGGAGGGGAAAAGCCACAAAATAAGAAGAAAAAACTAAATCTAACACAAATAATATAAACAAATGAAGTATAACGTTATGCCAGTTTTGATTTCTATTTTTAAAACTATGAACATATTTAGGCAACATTCTTTTAAAAGGGAACATTCAGTTTTCCAGTTTGGTGAAAAAAAAAAAGTTAAAACCTTTAAAAGGTAAATTCATCTATGTTAATAAAATCACTATAAAATGAAACAATGCTTACTGTTTCTGGACAGAAATGAAGAAATAATTTAATCTTCATGACTGTAATAATTTATATTTGAAAAGTATAGATTAACAGCAAGTAAGATTAGAAAAGTTGTACTATTTCATTTTAACATCTTATTTTAATAATATTATTCATAGAATGGCCATATAAAATGTGTCTGTTATTACATCTTTTTTTCTCTTTATTATGACATGTAATATGAGCACGTATTTCTTTGATATGATGTATACATACACCTATGTATATGACAAAGAGCTATCCTCCAAACTATTCTCAAATATTGGTAACTAAGAAATATATAAAAAAATGTACACCATATTTTAGAAAGCTACAATTTTTATGTTAGCATTTAGGAATTATTTTGCTCTCCCCCCTCCACTGCCTCTCTCTTGGCTTTATTAGATCTTTGCTACCTATGATTAATAAATGAATAGGCTCTTTTTCAATATTATTAAACAGGCTGATATTGTTTAGATCAGCTGCAATATTTATTTTTCTAAAGAAAATATGGTTTGACACCATGTCCCTTTTAAAGAAAAAAGCAGTCTTGCTGGAATATGCTAACTCTCTATTTAACCTTAGTTACAGAAGATTTTCTTCCTCTGGGCTTAAGAAAATGCAGTTATGCAGTTATGACAATATTAATTCTTTCCCATTTAAGACTTGTCAAGTTCATACCTGGACTCTGGCCTCAGTCAGCTCTGTCCTCAGAGCAAGCTGTTCTCTGACATACACATCAGGATAATGTGTTTTCTGGAAGACTTTTTCCAGCTCTTCCAGCTGCAAACTGGTAAAGGTGGTTCTATGTCTCCTCTTCTTGCTGCTGGACACATTGCTGTCACATTTATCACCAAGTTCATCCAGTTCTCCCTTTTCCTGCATCCCTTTGACTGGAGACATCCTGAGGCTGTTACAGTTGTCCATGGCTCTATTTAGCTCTGTGTGAAGAGGCTGTCCTTCGACTTTAGTAATCCCATAGTTCACTGGACCCAGGGGGGAAAATAACAGGTCTTAAGATTTAATGGACAAACATCCTTGAAGAGAGTTTGCAGTTTAGAGCATTAGGAAGGTGCTGGTGTTAGGGGTTTGGGAAGGGGAGATGTGGATCAAATACAAACCAGTATTACCTCATTTTCCCATTCTGGTTCTTTAATATGATGTTAAATTGTAAGTGTAAGGATTTACATGAATCTATCAGTCTAATGATTTCATAATGTGCATAACACAAGCTTGCCTTAGTTTCTAATAAGTTGAGAAGGCAAAATAAGCCTAGGGCTCTGCTTTCAGACAGATGTTCTTCCAACTAAGACCTTTGTATAATTAACAATATTGAGGGGATTCCTACACACACACACACACACACACACACACACACACACACACACACACACACACACAGCCCCCATGTGCTGAAACAGTTCCTGCTCAGGAGCTGAGAGCAGAGTCTTAACCTTAAGAGAATATCCACTCTAAATAATGTTCAATGAGGAACCAAAAAAAAAAAAAAAAGGTGGGGGCAGAAGAAAAGAAAGGCAGAACTTAGAAAAAGAATAGAAGTAAGTTGGATTTTTAAGAAGAGCTGAAACTTTTAAAAGTTATATTTCACCTTTGAATAGACAGAATTGAAGTGCTTCAGGAAAAGAAAAGAAAAAAAAATAAATCTACAAGTTGACACAGAATGTATAGACTTGTTTAGAAGAGATTGAGTTTATGTTAGGTGCTATTTATTCATCATACCCCCTAATTTAGATTTCCCCCACTCACTCAGGATCTACAATTTGGCAATTTAGAACTATTTCCTCAATGTTTTTCATCAATTTCACATTTAGATTCATGACCAATATAAAAATTTCATTTAATGGATCTAATTATGTTTAAAATCTATGTTTCTTCACTATTTCCAGAATTTTGTTTTATTTTTTTTTCCCCTTTAGAAGAGACTGATCACTGATAGACTTAAGGAGACTACTTTAGCATTAAAAGTAATACAGGGAGTTTGTAGCTTTTCCTAAACAAGTTCCTTTGTGGGATAACTCATAATTCCTACAATATCTTCTAACACTTAAAAGTTCTTCCTGATTCCCGGTCCTCCAAAAATTGGGGAGAAGAAAGAGAGAGAGAGAGAGAGAGAGAGAGAGAGAGAGAGAGAGAGAGAGAGAGAGAAGTTAAAACATCTAGTAAAACATTACAAAGGATGGCATCTGGTATGGTGTTACGGGTTGTTTTAAGGTTCTCTGCCATTCTTAATAATTTCCTAGGGATTTGATTTCAAGCATGTAGCATGATTTAAACCAAAAGTTTATCACAGAATTTTAGATATAAAGACATAAAAATGATATATATAATTAAAGAAAAAAATAAGGCCTTAAATGATGAAAACTAGGACAGCCCTTTCCTACCTGTACGTTGGAGTTTCCATTTTCCATTTCTCTTTTTCAAGTTATCTCAGTTTATTTTAAGGCATTTCAACTAGCATTCTAAACATATCCACCTTAAACTCCAACATAATTCACCTAGCTACTGCAACATCTTTTCAAAGCAAGTAATAAATTATTGTAAATACAAATAAAATGCAATAAAAAGTGATGGTACATTCTAAGGAAGTAGTTGATGGAAATAATGAACTTATGTCTACACTTGCAAAATAAGGTGAATAATTTAGACATTTAACTTCCAAAGTCGGGGGACCATCTCAAGAGAATGGTAGGGGGACTTTAAATTCCAAAGTACTCAGGAACTAATTCAGCAGATCACCCCTCAATTAACCTGTGTGTGGGAAAATATTCTCCAAGTGTCACTCTGGGAATTTTTTTCAATTCACTATATTTTTTCCACTATACATTTTGAAATATATAAATATCGAATGTTTAAAATATTGACAACGATTCTATTTTTCAGTGATCAACAAAGAGATCCCATTTTTTAAAAAAAATCTAACGATTCAAATAATGTATGCTTATATCTAAAAAAGTAGATGAAAGAGAAGCTTGTACTACATATCCTAGGAAAGCCAATGAACCAGTTTATATTTTTGTTAAATTTCTACTTGATTGGATTGTCTCTAATGACTTTCAAAACATGTGCTGAGGGGTAGGAGCTAAATATTTCCACAGTTTTAACATCTTTCGAAGAATTTTTCAAAGTATTGTCTCAGTCTCAGACCGAAAATAGAAACAAAACTTCAATCGACAGGGAGCACGCAACACCGTAAAAGGGGATTACTGCAGTCCAATTTCTTGACAGCTTTGGAACTCTCATTAAAGTGAGGGGGCTGGTGTGGAGGGCTTGTTATAAATACCTCCCGTTTAATTAGTTTGTTGTTTTAAAAGAACCCGAAGCTTACAGGTTAACTGTGGTATATATACAATGATAAGGGAAAAGTCCTCTTGGAATTGTAAACTTGCCTTAACTGTCACATCTCAAATAATAGGTTCGCATTGAATTACAAGATAGAAAAGATAGATGGTCTGTTTTGATAACATTTGGACTTGGATACAGAGTGGCGCATTTGGAGTGGAAGCCGTAGCCCAAAGCATTGAAGCAGCCCCAGAAACTCTTGGTCCTGTGACTTTCAAAGTACAGGGTTTGGAAGAAGGCGATGAAAGCTGAATTGAAAAGAATTGTATATTGCGAGACTGGGAGGTGGGGACAGCTTGAGAGTGAGAGCGGCCCAACTCGGCACTCTTCAGATTGAATTGTCGTTCTTTTTATTTCTTTGTTTGTTTTAAAGAAAGATCGAGAAAGCTAGATACGAATCTGCATTTATATGTATGTGTGTGTGCATATCTATATGTACATATACATGCATACGTATATATACATAGAAGTGTGTGTGTACATATATATGTATGTATGTATATGTACATATATGTCTTCGGGGACTGGTGCGCAATTCTGTACCTCCATCAACCCGCCAACATTTGACAAGAAAACAATGTCATTTCCTGGACCATAAAAAGGGGATTTCACCACAAGCTAGCTCTATCTGACCCTTCCACGTGACGACAGTGACCTTCTCTAATGGATCTTGATGGATTTCTACTGTTAGCTGAGGGCTTCGTGGAAAGGAAATACCCTGCCTTGGCTCAATTCTGCTGTCCTTTGCGCCTTATCTAGGTACCCGGGGCATCCCCAAGGAAAGGTGGCGTCGAATCTCTGAATGGGAGAATAGGGCTGCGAGAGAACTGAACCAACCCGCGGGAGAACCCAACTGAGCCGAAAAGGACTCAAATGGTTCTCTTTAGCCTTCCGGTATTTCGGCAATAGGGTAGAGGGCAGAGAGGATCTGGGGGCTGAAAGTTCCTTCGTCTCGCAAAAATCTCCCTTAATCTTAACACGGGATTCTAAAAGGGGAGGGGGGGGAAGGGGGGAGACACCGTTGCAATTCTTCTACCCGTTCTTCCTTCTTTCCTCCTTTCACTTCACTCCCTTATCTCAAAACTATCTTGTGGTTTTCTTTCTTCTTCCTTCCTTCCTTCTTTCTTTCTTTCTTTCTTTCTTTCTTTCTTTCTTTCTTTCTTTCTTTCTTTCTTTCTTTCTTTCTTTCTTTCTTTCTTTTTCTTTCTTGGACAGCGAAGTTCGGGGAAGTGGACAGCTCTGGGAGGGAGTCAATCTACGATCGGGAAAGACTCACCATTATTCTCCTGACAGGGAGATGTCCTGTCCAGTCTCACATGATGCTCTGCCCTTTGGAGAGGATTGAAGGCCTGCACACATTTGCTGGCGGAGGTTTTGCTGTAAAAGGTCTCATTGTCTAAAGTTTCCATAACGTGCTCCAAAGTGCCTCCTGCTCCCATGTAAAAGTCACTGTTTTTACTCGGCTGGTTTTTCAGGGCAAACTTCTCGCTCAGAAAATCCATAATCATCTAAGGCTGGTGCTAAGCCTCCTCTGGAAACACAGAGGCTGGACTGTGAGCTGGGGGAGGGAAGTGGGGAGGGAAAGAGGGAGTGAAGGAGGGAGAGAGGATGAGGAGAGAAAGGAGGAAGAGGAGGAGGAAGGGAAAGAGAAAGCTCCGGAGCTGTTTTCACTCTGAGTCTTTAATTTGTCTGGTCTTGAAAGGGGGGACCCGAAGTTGCTTTTATATCTTGAAACTCAGCAGGGCTCTTCGGGCAGCCTCCCATTCCTAATGAATATGAAAATAGGCAGCCGCCTAACTCCACCCCAGATCCCCCCCCCTCCACTCCCCCTACCCCAAACCTAGTCCCAGCCCAGAGACGAAGGAAGATCCAGGCCCCTGTTAGCTCCATTCCAGACAGACAAATGAAGAGGGGGTTGGCACAAACACGCAGCAACTTTGCCCTGCCGCGTTGGACTGGCATTTCTGAGGAGATTTGTAAGATAAAAACAAATAAACTCTTCCCCCCCCAACACACACACACCCTCCATTTCTCTCCTCCCAGTCTCCCCCACCCCCCCAAAACCCTCTGTCACTCTCCCTCCTTCTTTCTCCTTGGTCACTATCTCCTGGAAAGATTTAAAGGCATCGCAGAAACTTGAAAGTGAGTAATGCTCTAAAGGTCTTTTATTTCATCAGTAAATCGCTTATGTAGAAGATCCACATTAATCCAAAGCCCAAGGAACCGGATACATTGGAAGCTATTAACTGAACAGCGGTGGCAAGCGCTCGCTAACTCCTGCTTCCTACGTAGAGAGTATTCGACATCCTACGGTGCATTATACAGCCACTTTTAAGAGGCTCTCTCTCTCTCTCTCTCTCTCTTCTCTCTCTCTCTCTCTCTCTCTCTCTCTCTCTCTGTGTGTGTGTGTGTGTGTGTGTGTTTGTGTGTGTGTGTGTGTGTGTGTGTTTCTCTCTCCCTTCTTTTCTGGAAAGCTGTGTGTTGATGTGGTGGGGAGGCAATGCAGAGAGACAAAGAGGAATTGAAACAAGTAAGACACTAATACCAATTGAATTCTCCACCCCACCCCTCCTCCATCCACCAGCAGAAAAATCTTTCTGGGATGGAATCTTAGATCTATATTATGCGAAACAAAATCCCCTTTGGAAACTCCAGGTCTCACCCATCTCGCCTGTCCCATTCAAAATGTTGCAGTCTCAATAAGAACTGTTAGAAAGTGGGAGAGGAAGGGGAACTTCGCGAATGGATTTAGGGTGGGGGGGGAGTGGGGAGGCAATTGTGCATAGCTTTTTAAGAGGCATGGTGGCAATTAACTTTAAAAAAAATTACAGTTGGCCCAGAGTACGTAGAGAGAGCATCCCAGTTAGATCTCTCTGGCCCAAGGCGAGTGCTGCTAGAGACCCTAACCTTAGCTCAGTGAGGAAGGAGGTTTCTCTTTTTCTCTCCTAGTGCTTCTATTTGGGGAGAGCACAGAGCCGGGCTAGAACCAACTGGGTCCTGGCCCCCTTAAGCCCTTCAGCGAGGGGCCGGCACTGGTGATCTGGAAAAAGCTGGAAGCTGAAATGGGGAGGAGGAAGGTAAAAAGGACGCTGGCTTCCTAATTCTGGTTAGGCCCCACTCTACTTGTCAACCTGCGAATCCCGGAGACACTATAGGGCTGAGGGGTGGGTGGGATGGGGTTGAAAACTGGCCCTTTGCCTCAGGGCCAGAGGCCCAAACGCAAGAGGTGGACGGAGCTGGGCCCAGAGCAAATTCCAGAGAGCTCTGCCTGACAAGCAAGCGGAGAAAGGAGAGAGCTGAGTGGATATGCCCGCGCCTACAAGGGCCAGGGAGGCCTCTTTTCTCCACAGGGCATCTGAGGTATATGCCACTCCTGCCCCAACTCAGGCCTAGAAGCTTGGGAGCCCGAGCAAAGCAGGAAAGCCTAGGCAGGTGGTGGAGGGTGAAAAGGGGGACTGGTACTTCTTGAAAAGGCTGGGTGAAGCCTTGGGGAGCTCCTGGGCTTCAGGCAGGTCCAGGGTCCAGCCGAACACTTCGACAAGGGTTCTAACTAGGCCTCACCTTGGTTGTGTAACCCAACTCTGAGGTCCTTTTCCTGGCCTAGGAACCAAACAGGAAGACCATCTGGAGGTCATCTTGGGGAGAGTGGAGTGTGACACTTCCACCCCCCCCAAATACAGACACACACACGCTTGCACCCCGACACCCCAAACCCAATGAAGTCTGCTCGTGGCTGACTACATGGAAGCTGGGCCCCACAGAACTCCGCCGAGAAAGAGAGGAAGAACATCCTTCCAGAAATGGAAATCAACCCCAGTCCCCTTTAGCCCTCGGGGCTAGACAGGGCATCTGCCAGTCTTAGTCTTCCGGTCCTAAAACTTTTTCTCCCAACAAAGAGCAAAACCTCCTTTCTGCCTTCAAAAGACATCGACTGTCGTTTTACATCTACTCCAGGAATATGTGTCATGGTGAAGATGGTAGAGACAGTGGTGTTGGCTGGGTGCGAGTCTTTGATGAAACTCAACAACTTTATTACTAACGTAGATTTTAAACTAGCTGCTATGGAAGCAGCTCGGCCATCATAAACCATAATATGTAAATGTTTAAAGAGCATGAACACACCCACAGAGGCTAATGAAATAGTGGAGAAATAAACTCAATGTGTATTCCGAACAAAAGGCGATCTCTGGCTTGCTTGCCAGTTTCCAGAGGACAACCTCCTTACCCTCCTTTCCCCCCAAAGGCTCCATCACTAGGGTAGACGGCCAAATGAAGAGGGAGTGGAAATTAACTAGTCCTAGGCACACCTACTTAAACAATTAGAACTGCGTGCTTGCGTCTATGCCGATGCTCCTGTTGTCCGTAGAGAAGGAGACAACCTGTAGAGTCAAGACAAGCTGGCCGGCAGGAGAACGCACCGTCAGCTCCCCTCCATTACCCTCACCCCACCCCACTCCGCGCCTATTTGCCTAGGTTGGGATAGGTACTGAGCACCTTCCCAAGCGCCCTCTCCCTTTGGAATGTTGGGTATCGATTGGATAAGTCTCTTTGAAAACGTCTTAGGGCCTCTAGTCTACATCAGAATTCGTCCTCCCTTTCCTGAAATTCTCACCACCCTTCAAGTGTGGTCCGCATCAGGGGCAGTCCTGCCCTCTTGCTACCTTTCCGCTCCAGTTTGTATTTTTTTTTTTTCCGGCATCCCCCTCCTGATGCCGGATTGCTATCGCTTTTTCCTCTTTTGGGATTTCCTGTCACCCCCCCGCCCCAATCCACAGCAGCAAGATCAACGCTTATTGCTGACTTGAAATGCACAAACAGTCCCTTGACATAAACGTATTTATGTCATGGAACTCTGTCGGATTGTTTATAAATATGTGTCTTAAGAGCTCTAAATTCCTTGAAAAACGTTCGGTGTCTTTTAAATGAAAGACATATGATGCAAGGTTGTGGAAAGCCCGCAGAGCACTTTGATACCAATAAAGGTCCGGCTTAAAGGGAGCCAGGAAACTGCGGGGGAGCTGGGGAGCAGCAGCTGCCTTGTAAACCAAGATTCCCTCCTACCCACCCCCACGCACATATACATCAACCCCACTTTCGGTGGCGGTAGGAGGGCAAGAGGAGACAACGACTGGAGTCGGGATACCAGTAACCTCCGACAGAACGCAAAATCCATTCTCCCGGGATCCTGCTTGTGCTTTGGGACAGGCAACCACATGTGCCCCTAACAGAGGGAACAGCTAATGGAAGACGCCCATAACAAATGCTTAATCTGCAATTGTTGGCAAGGGGTTTGGGCTCTCGTTGCCAAAAACTGCATTAAACGGGGTTTGCAAGTTTGAAATGCTGTTCCTCTTAATGACGCAGTTGTGGCAATAGGAGCACTGAATGCAATTAAAAATAATCACTCTCATGACAATAAAGGTGATCACACGATGCCTGGAAGTCACACCGAGAGGAATCCAATGGGAGTCCGTCTCTTCCTCGCCGAGGGCTAACTTGAGACCAGCCCAGTCTCCTCTGGCTTGATGCTGAGGATAAGAATTCAGGAAATTGACTGGAGAGCTGTCCTGATAACTGCTCAGCTTCTCTAATCCTCCCAGACGCGGGAGTTTCTATAAGTTCTCCTCAGGGAGCTTCCTGTAGGTGCAGAGAGGGTAAGGTAGAGATAATGCTAAAAAAAAAAAAAACTAATTTCAGCTCCTCTACAAAGGGAGGGAAAAAAAAGGAAAACTGGAAGGAAAAGCCAGGTTTCAGGCTGGGAGCTGAATTATGTGAGGTAGATCCTGGGAAGGGTTGGTTCAGTCATCCTTTTCCCGGGACCCTCTGCTCCGTCCTCCCGGGAGAGATTGAAAGAATGGTCCATCTTTTTCAAAACCTGAGGATCTGTTAACATCCTTTCACCTTCTTGTTATCAGAGAATTTTCCTTGACTAAAACTCCCCCCAGGTTTCTAACCGCCCCAAATTCTGAGTTACCTCCCTTCCTTTTTCTCTAGGGTCACTGACACTGAATAGGGAACTTTATAGGGGGAAGGGAGGATTGGAAAGTGATTAGGGGGAAGTCTGGACTCTGGGTCTTCTCAAAGGCGGAGTTCCAGGTGCTGGGTCATCAATTACCTTGAAACATAACAAGGACCTCGGAGGACCTTATCACAGATTCCTCAACTCTTTTCAATTACTGATCCGTTTGATGAAGATCGATTCCACATTGCACTCTGCCATTGTTGGAAAAGAGGCATCCGTGGACCAACGGGACCATCTTATTCTTTTTCAAAGAGGATATATGTGTAACGGATAGAGAATCTTGTCCTTTGCAAGGCCTTCTGGGGTGAAGTGGGTTGAGTTGTCTCATTAATGGCAAAGTGATGGAAGTAGAGAAGTATTTCAGGACTAGAACGATTTAGCTCTAACGGCTGGAGGAAGGTAATTCAATCAGACATTGTTTGAAACCCGGTCTTCTTTCCTCTTCTCGAGCTCCATAACGCACTTTCCCTAGAACGTTTAAATCCTACTATTCCTCCCCCCCCCGCCTAGTTATTATCTATATGACCCTACTTGGGCGCGAAAATGGTTGAGATGGATATTCAAATGGAAAGAGGCAGGATAGCAGCAAAAAGATGGAAATCCTGGTTTGAAGTCAATGGGTATGGGAGTGGGGAGAAGAGAAAAATGGAAAAGAAAAGCTAGTCACTGTTTCTTACAATATTAAGTTTAGAGTTCAGGACTGGCAATCCTGTCCAAGGTAACATTTC